CTATTTGCAAACATAACCTTAAAATCATTCAGTGTTTATGGTTTATAGAAGTTCTCAGGGTTGTCCGTCAATAATATTCGTTTCTACAGTAATTTATATAATTACGAATCTAGGAAACAATTTTACATGATTATTGGTCTTTAGGCCTAACATGTATGGAAGCTGAGCGATCTCCTTTAGGTCAACTTATGAGCATTTACTCACATAACTGTGGCGCGCCTGCCCCGCCCACAAGGCCCTTCTAACCTGTTTGTGTGTTCGTAATCGTATCGCATCGTCAAACTTTCTATGAAAAGAAAGCAGCACCCCCACCGGACATTAGAACAATATGGCTCCTCCATAAAAAAATTAACGATAACGCTACGATTACTCTGAACTCAATCCTTTACCTATCACATAGAGCCCTGGAACCTTATTCGTCAACAGAATCAAAACAGGACCAAAAGTGAGATCAGCATCATATCACTATTATTTACCTACAGTGGACGAAAAATCCTTTTTTTTTCCTCCCAGGAGGGGGAGCGGGTGAGAAATACTCATGGATACGGATACCCTACAGCCGGCTGCAAGGTTATGTCACACTCGTACTGACTAAAAATACCCGTAGGGGCTGCCTCTGGCCGGGAAGGCCTCTAAGGCTTCATCGGGAGCGATCGTCCCCCAGGGGGGGTGGACCAATCCCCTTCTATAGGGTTTGTGGCGGCGACATCTACACGCCACACATGTAATTAATGAAGCAAGACTTAACACTCCATAACAACAGATGGCGCTACCGGCACTGCACTAGGTACGTTGTACGTATGTAAACTTGCTTCGCGCAAAAAAAAATCCAGACGCTCATATTTTATTTAAAATGCCTGACAAATCAGTAGGACTCGGACCGAACCTACAGTCCCTTCTTTTGCCAATTTAACGTAAGCAGTTTTGTAAAAATAGCCCCGGAAGATTAGCTTTTGATTAAACTCCATTAAGCATGGGCGAGAACGTTTCAAAAGTATGAAAAACTTCATTTGTGGACTTCATAAAAACAAAACCATTAAAAAGTAAGAAATAAATAATGCATGTCATTTACTTATATCGACATTTAAAGCCAAACTAACATTTATTTTAGTCCTGACCTGCTACTGCTATATTATCTCTTTTATTTTTGAATAGGTTCATATTTGAAGAGGTTCCGTTGTTTATCTCCGAAAGTATTTATCAGATCTTCCAAGTTCCCATATTAACCATATCGCTTAAATCTTCCAAACATGAAAAGAATCTTTGTTTCTTAGGTTTTCACGCACATCACTCATTAAATATTATTTAAATAAAAGTTTCATTCTGATGACGTAGCCTGTAAAGGCTACGAAACGTCAATAAATAAATAAAGTTTCGTGCATTAACCCGTAAAAACTAGTTTTATTTAATGAAAAGAATCATCAAATTATCGGTCAATAAAACTCCAACAACAATAAAATTTTATTTAATGACTTGTTTTGCGCGTAACTTGTTGTGTTATACTTCGTGTTTCAATGCAAAGAGAGGTACGTACTTGCGAGCACTGTAAGAGCAACGCGCTACGCTGCGTGACGCGGTGCATTGTGCGAATCGCAGTACGGTATTTGATCGACAAAGTTATGCAACATACGAATGTTGCATAACTTTGTCGACTAAAAGCACTGTAAGAACAACGCGCTACGCTGCGTGACGCGGTGTATTGTGCGAATCGCAGTACGATATTTGATCAAATACCGTGGCCGGGCACACGATGTGTAATCAAAAAGATCTTATCTCGAGCTAGTCTGTCCCTCGGAAGGCACGTTAATAGGTACGTTACGATTTGCGAGCACTAGCGCCCGTAAATCACCCAAGTTCTACCTATTTTAGATAGATAGATAACTCATTTATAAGCACACAAATTCAAGTAAACAAATAGAAGAATTAATTAATAAACATGTCACTGTGTGCCGCAACGACAGAAAAAGGTAAACACTCAGCGATATCTTTTCTCTGAGAGCAAAGTACTGGTTTTAGTACCCCTAGCATGAACCATTATCGAATTCGAATACGAAAAAATGCGAAATAGCGAAATGTCAATGTCAAACTTTGTATGGAAACTTGAACAGCAGCGCCACAAAGTACGTAACGAGAACTAAAAATCAGTACTCATTTAACAATGACATTTCGGACTCGCAAACGTTACGAATTTGATATTGGTTCGTGCTAAGGGTACTGATTTTTAGTTTATACTATTTGAATTCGATAATGGTTTGTGCTAGGGGTATGTTCCGCCTAGAAAGCGCGTAATTTGAAACGATACTGACGAGATATTTTCTATCTATAAGGAAGACCTGTGCCCTAGCAGTGGAGACTTTGACAGGCTGAAGGTCAATATGAATGTTCTTAGTGCATGCACCCGGGTTACTGCGTGAAGTCAGAATAATAGGTTGACCTCAGGGGCGTATTTTAAAATTTAGCGCTCACTCAGGGGCAATTATCATTTGCCCTAGATTTAGCAATTTAATTCAGAATATTTTTGCAGATGGAGTCCAATACCAGACTATCCCATGTATCCAGACAGGGTCATACTTAGACTACTATATGGAAGAAAGGAGATTAATATACAGTGGTAAAATAAAATACTGAGGTAAATAGGATTAATATTTTAATTTTCTGTATATTTTTGTCCTGTCTATTTTTTTCGTATTGCACATAACCCTTACATAGTACCTATAAATTTAGTACAATTTAGAATACCATTTCTCAAAAAGACTAGTAAGGACTCGCCAATTTTATTCTAGATATAAAAAAAGAACTTAAATAAGACTAATTATATGAACCTTATTGTAATAAATTGTATTGTAAAAATAAAATACATAAAATATTGCACCGTATTTCACATTTATATCACCAAAATTTAAATAAATATATAGGCCTCATATTTTTTTTCTAAATATGTTATACTTAGATGAGTTTCAAGTATTGCTCTGAATTTTTCATATTTTGCATAGATGTAATATACTTATTTACATTTACAAAAATAAAAGCTTAGCGTATCACACAATATAAACGCATTACAGTAGGTAGTCATTAATAATACATTGACTTAATTTTATTCAAACCTTTATTTGTTATTTGGGCCCCATATAAAATTTTGGACGCCCATGTAAATGTAGCGAAATGCCCAAGCCACATATTTTGACTTAGGTGTAAGAGTTTGTGAACTTGTAAAGTTAGGGCGTGCAGTTCTAAGCTTGGCTCTACATGAGATCTGATAACATATTGACAGCGCATTGCGAGTCATAAGGTCTCGTCTTGGCTACGTTTTACATGAAAATGTTTTTAGTGGGCTACCTATTTCCCATGGTCACTCATAACTCTAGAATGACTTCATATTTTTCTTTATGTTTTCTAATACTTCGTAGAATGTTAATTACGGAAAAATAATAAAGATAGTTGCGAAAAACTTAAGTTATCGCGGACCAGTTAGTAATAATAATACATGATGACCTTTGTAAAAGTATACTTAGTTATAACTAAAAGCACGAAATCACAAGTTCATAAAAAAGTTTTTTTTTCTAGATTTTATCTACCTATTGATCATAAACCAAAGATTTATGATTTATCCGTTCCGTAGGAATGTCCGCAAGCTACAACAGACAACACATAACTTTCGAAAATGGCAAAATTCTAATTTACCTTACTGGCTTTCTTTCTTATGCAATAATATTATATAATGTGCTGCATATTTCACTAAGTTCTTATAATATGGATGCTGAGCGGACGTGACTTGATGATTTTGTTATTACTTTTGTATAGTCTTTAAAACGTAGCGATTTTTTCAAGTGAGAATTTACTTATTATGCAATTTGGCACGGCTTGCAGTGTTAACATTTAATAATGTTTTTTAAACACTGAAGTTTACAACGTAACTTTTAGTTTAAATTAGAATAAAATATAAATAAAATTATAAAGCTTAAGTTATTATTTTTGCTCTTTTTTAACCTTAACACTTATAAATGTAAATAAAATATATACTTATGACAATAATAACAACATCATAATGTTTTCTCACTATGAATTGTAACTTCAGTTATAGTTAACTGTACTTGTAGGTAATAGTTTACCTACTACCTATTTGTTTTAGAGATGTTCCAAACATAAAACTTACAAAGCGCCCCTGAAAATTCCAGGGATTAATAATTTAGATCGGTTTTACCAATGACCTTCAAAAAAATAAAATATAATATTACTGGGTCTTACAGTGGGTAATAAAATTTATGAATATTCATCAAACAAGTAAGTAGTGTCAAATCTTATTAATATCTTCCTTAAAAGCGACGCATTTAAATACATTCATAAAATTATACATATTGACATATTATTTAAAGTGTTTGCCCAATTTACTGATATTTGATTATGATTGTTTTGAAACATTTTTTATTGTATTGACATTTAAATTTTTGTAATTTGAAGCTTAGAATAATAATTATGAATATAAATAATAATTAATTTGTATGCCGATATTGTCATAACATGTTATGTACTTAGCTAATTATAACTGAACATCTTACACATGTTGTTACAAATAAAATGTCTTTCTTTCTTTCTTTCAAAAAATAATTACCTTGTCTTCACATGCAATTACGGGGTATGTTATTTACTCAAGCAATCATATTAAATAACAGCAACGCGATTACGAATTCTAAGTGGTTCTATACAAGTATGAAGTGTTTATTACAATTGTCGTGATATGTTAAACATATTTATGACAAGGTAATGACCGCTTCAAAGCATAATCTCAGTTTTCACTTTGTAAATTGAGCACTTGCGCTTGGGCGGGAAAAGCACTTATAAAATCAACCCGCCATTTTCTTCGTGTCTCATTTAAAAAGTGAGCGGCGTTGTCTATAGTCGTGGTTGTGGCCAAAATATTTTCGTTTCTCACTGGTTTCGACCTATATTTTTTTTAAACTATTTTGACACAGAAGTTAAATTCGTCGTCTGTTTGTGTGTGAATGAGAGGTCTGTGTAAATACTTTTAAATAACTTTGTTTTTCTGTACCTATCTTTTGTTTATGTATTATTTGCTAGAATAATAAATCTTTGTCGCCTGTTTTTGTTTTATTTGTCCTTATTATAAATAAAATAAATATTGAACTGAATTGAAGTAGGTACTACTATATTAAGAGATAAATCACAGGCCGGAGTGTGGGTTGCGTCGCGAATTTACTTTAAATTAGTATGAGGAAAATAACTTTATTTAGGTACGTACGGTAGACGGCGCTATAAATTTTCCCATACTAATTTTGACGTAAACGCAAACACGATGGTAAAGTTAAATCGAGGCGCAACATTTCAGCCTCTGTCACTTTTTTGTAGTCCTCAATCCTCAATAAATAGTCACTTTTTTTCAACGCATACATTGAAACACGTTTTATACAGCCAAGAATTTTCACTTCAGATGATCGTAGGAAATGTCAGCGTGGAATCCTTCTGGGCCTGCTGAGTAGCGAACCTTCTGCATTCTACCATCAGGCAATCGGACGTGGTAGTGGCCATTGGTGCTCTCACCGCTCTTGGCTTCGTGGTGGCCGAAGTCGTTGCCACTTTTAAGGTCTCGCACTCTGTATCCGAATTCGTAATTTGCCGCATAGTGGAGCTGGAACAAGCAATTATGATTGTAATGTAATAATAGCTTCATCAGCCTATTATGATCCCCACTGCTGGGGTGCAGGCCTTCCCTGTGGATGGAATAGGAAGATTGGGCCATGACCCACCACGCGGTGTGTGCGGATTGATGGGGGAGAACGGCTGCAGATGTATTCGGAACCAATGGCTTAATGTGCCTTCCGAAGAATAGGGGAGCTCGAGATAGTAAGTTTTTGGTTGTGACCAAAATGTGTAGATCAAACGACCGGCCATTTCGAAAGTTGCTTAACTTAGCTAACCATCTGCGCCATCGAGTTTTTCAATAAATATATCTATACTAATATTATAAAGAGGAAAGTTTGTATGTTTGTAATGAATATAAATAAATTAATAAAAGATCTTAACTGGTGGTAGGGAAAAATATGGACGATTCCAAAGAGTTGTAATTTGCACCAAATCTGAATAAAGATATTTTGACTTTAGACTTTTGAATAAACCCAAAAATTACTGGACAGTTTACAAAAATTCTTTCAACATTAACATCATTTCTGCGTGACATCTACTATATTTTTCCTTTAATCGTAATATAAAAATAAGTGCCACTGATTATAAACTTTTTAAAAGAACAAGAACAGTAAGTAATAATTTGAAACCACATTTTCTATTCATACATACAAAGAAGTTTTGCATGATACAACGCTTGCTTGTATTGAATAACGACAATATAATATTAATAAACAAGAAATACAATGTAATCCTACACACTGATGTTTCTAAACGATTAATTAAGTGAAATGACAAATATATGAAGTTGATTTTGAATGTACCTCAGTCTTCACTCTAGCTAGAGCGATCCGAGATATTATTTAGTTGCAATTCTACTACATATAATAAATGAAAGTTTTGTATTTTTTGTATGGTTGTAATGTAACTCAAATTATGAAATAACATTGTTGGCTGAACCGGTTTTATATGATGATAAAATTTTGGCACAAGGATAGTTTGCTCTCTGGATTAGATATAGTAGTAAAATTATAGCATTTATATTTTAATGATAGTATTTATCTCTAAATAAACCTTGAATTTCATGATTTTCATTTTATTTTAAATGCTCTTAAAAAAATGGTGTGCATGTCTGTGCATTTTGATCGGTACCAACAATATTTTACCAGTATTAAGTAATTACCAGTAATTTAATTTTCACATTTTGCGGGTTCAGACGGGCGATATTTTTAATTCCATACTTTCTATCTAGAAAAAATTGTGAAATGTATAACGGCAGCATTCAGATACGTCAGTTGATTTTGAAGTGTGATTAAATATGGGACGTTTTCTTTGCAATTTGAGTAGACACACACATGACAGCATGACATTTTCACAAAAAAAAAATAGTATTTAACTTGATTTTAACTCTCATTACGGCTGTAAGTTTCATATGAAACTCGCAGCTTTAATTTTCAAGTAAATTTGCAATGTTCATTTGCAAGTTAGCATACGTTCAGCTACTGTGGCACTTTGTAAGTAAATTAATTTACATCTATATCAACCAAAATAAAGACAATATGAGTAAGTATATTTACCATGAGAATATAAAAAAAGAGTCAATACAAGGTCTCTTATATAGATTACAGTATGGTAACTGTGTCAAGTCAAGCTTAATTGGTCATTATGTTCATAAACCATGTTCTTTTGCAATGACAAATTCGTACTTAATTAATAACCTGTTTTGTGTGATGGTTGACTATAGGTTTTAAGGTGTTCTCAGCCTTGCCCTTTTAATGTTTTATTGCCAAATTAGTCGAAAATTAAACAACATTGTTTAAGGCATGTATTTTTTTAAAATGTTTTTGCAGCCAAACGAGGTTACATTCTACTTCTATCTGATGGTAAGTGGTTACTGCTGCCCATGGAAACATTCAAGAGTGAATATTTTGGAAATACATACCTATCCATATTTGGTTTTACATTTTGTTTTCAACACACCAAATAGCCTCAAAGTAAGCACTATAAGGCATGTGTTATGGGATTCAAGGGTAACGGATAGAATACATATACTGTACATTATATATAAGTATATTTTTATAGAAATACATATTAAACATCCATGACTGGAGTACATATGCTCGTATTCATCACACAAACACCTGCCCCCACCGGGATTTGAAACCGGGACTTCTCGAGTCGGCGACACCATGAAACCCGGCGTACAGACCACTCGGCCACGGGTCGTCAAATAATATAATATGAAATCCTGTTAAAAATTATTGGGTACTAATTAAACAAGCTCATTTTTAATTAATAGCATTATTCGCCTCTAAACATCTCAATTGCCTTCTAAATTACAAGCCAGCCACAATCAACGCGCGTCTGAATAATACTATCTTAGCCACTAGCTATCTTCTATGTGAACCACTCTAATTATAACTTAGCATGATGGTGATTAAATCTTAAGAAAATATAACTAGAAAAAATTCCACGCGGACCAGGCAGCAGACGGGACTCGAACCCGCACCCTTCGCAATCCGGGCGAATGCACTGACCAATTATGCTACCGCGGCCCTCACGGACCGCGTCGAAATTCTTTCTAGCTATTCTTAAGCTGCAAGGCAGCGCCATCTCTTCGCATTATAGGTAAACCCACAATGTCAAATGAATACTTTTACAAGTATTAAACATTTGAAAGAAGAAATAGCAATTATAGTTATAATTTTTATTATTTTTAAAGCATGTAACTGCTTGATGTTTAAATCTTAAGAAAATATAACTAGAAAAAATTCCACGCGGACCAGGCAGCAGACGGGACTCGAACCCGCACCCTTCGCAATCCGGGCGAATGCACTGACCAATTATGCTACCGCGGCCCTCACGGACCGCGTCGAAATTCTTTCTAGCTATTCTTAAGCTGCAAGGCAGCGCCATCTCTTCGCATTATAGGTAAACCCACAATGTCAAATGAATACTTTTACAAGTATTAAACATTTGAAAGAAGAAATAGCAATTATAGTTATAATTTTTATTATTTTTAAAGCATGTAACTGCTTGATGTTTAAATCTTAAGAAAATATAACTAGAAAAAATTCCACGCGGACCAGGCAGCAGACGGGACTCGAACCCGCACCCTTCGCAATCCGGGCGAATGCACTGACCAATTATGCTACCGCGGCCCTCACGGACCGCGTCGAAATTCTTTCTAGCTATTCTTAAGCTGCAAGGCAGCGCCATCTCTTCGCATTATAGGTAAACCCACAATGTCAAATGATTTAAACATCAAGCAGTTACATGCTTTAAAAATAATAAAAATTATAATGATGGTGATTTTTTTTTGTATCCAAATTTGTTTCATATAGTCAAGCAGTAAATTTCTAAAACCTATTAAGCAATATAATTATGTCACCACAATAGTAATACTATTGGCTTCTAAGTTTATAACTCAGTAGTTTAATTAAAATACAACTCATCTAACATTAATCTTGATTATAACAATTAGTGGCTCCTTAGTCGTTAAATTTTAATTTATTATTAATATGTTTGTTTTTTATGGAATTCAATTTACTAACACTAGATTTGTAAGCATAATTTTTACTAACCATTAGGGATGAATAATCAGAAATAAGTAGTATTATTCTTATTAATTATACGTCCAATTTATTTACAAATTATCAACAAATATGAAAGTTGAAGTTGCAAAAAAGATGAATTATTTTTATTAGAAGCTACCTCATTTTCTCGTTGCTTAGTTATAAGAAGTTTAATCACGTGGCTAAACAAAAAAAAATGTGCCATATCTCTAAATTATTTTGTGAATAAGAACACAATATTGTTTTCTATTATTATGTGTAGTTCGTGCGAGTATTTTATACAGGTATTACAAAAAAAAATCTCCTTAAAATAAAGAAGAAAATATAAGCAAAGCTAGTTAGCTATTTTTAAGTGATGATAAATCATAGATTTACTTACGTGCAATAGATTTCTAATTATTAAAATACACATTAATTATTTACGGTTAATGAGAATAAAAAAGAAAACTATTTATCTTAGTTTTAAAATTTTAAATAACCATCAGCTCGAGGTCTTAATTATAAATACGTTTTCAATGCCATGTAATTTATTTCATAATTTGAAAAGCATGCATAAGCTATATTTGTTCGAAATTTCGTTCGTAATGCTTATCTTCGATAAAATCAAAAGATCTACACGCGTAGCTTAAGTTATGTAATTATGATTTATTGAACTTAATTTGCTTCATGCACTGCATATTACGAAAATTATGCAAGGTGAAATAATAGCACCAAACGGATTTTTCCTAGAGAGGCAGCCGTCCATTTGAAATTACATTAATTCGGGAATTATTTTTAAGCTGTATCACAGTCAAATACTATATAGGGTGAACAGAGAAGTTTCTCAGGTAGGCAATGACTATTAGATGTTTTAATCAAAAGATAATTTTAGGCACTAGAAAAAAAAATCACACGGACCAGCGTATTATATAAGATGCAATCTCACTTCCGGTCTCATTGTTCGAATTACTGACAAATGTCAAATATCTAATATTGGCTGCTCCTACAGACATAGCGTCATTTTGCCGTGTAATGGCGTAATGCATACCAAACTCTGAAATCAGAGGTGAGATTTTATTTTACAGAATTGCCGTACTGATTTCTGACGGGATTCGAATCTGCATCTTCCGCTATCCGGACTGCAGAGACATTTTGATTGCTGTCCTCTTTCTGTATACTTAGGCTTTGTAAGTTTTGATCTACTCTAAAGAATCTCATCATTATATTGATCTAAGGCACTACAAATTCCCCATCACTGAGCTAGTACGAGTTTGAAGTTACAAAACCTATTTTTTTGTTGTATTAATTACATTAGAGAGTCGAAGGATTACTTGTTTATTTTTGCCCTAAAATATTTGAAATGGTCTATAATTAGATAGATTTCTACAGACAGGTAGGCGCTCCAATTCATGTGGAATAGGTACTTCATATTCTGTGTAAGCTTCGTCATTAAATCAGTTGAAGAAAATGTTTACTGGAAAACGAATGAACCCAAAAGTCCAGTGTACCAAGAGTTGTCAAATTTCTTTTGTGCATAGTGTTTTTAACTTCATTGGTTTTTTTACTAGTAAAATTTTCCTCGACATTTAAAAAGTTATCACTAAAGCTAGTTTAATGCTTAAAAATAAAATTATTATAATTTATTTATTTTTTAACTAAAACAACACTCCAATTTGAAGAATCACACAAAACAATTTGGAACCATGTATACCTATATATATTACCACTTACCTTCAATTGGGGCTTCAATGTAGCCAAATCTAACGTCTACTTCCAGAAAATTTTGTTAAACTTGATTATTGTACGGGCTAAATCTAGTTTAGTTAAATTTTGATTTAGCAAATTGGAAGCTTAATGAATCTCTGTTGCATCAATACGATACTTACATGTCTGGCTGGTCACTATGGTTAGTCACCAGGTTTGTTTGTATGTTAGTTAATCACACAAAAAGTACTGTACGGATTTGAATGAAATTTTGTACGCATATAGTTTATAAGCTGAATTGAGACATAGGATATTTCTTATCCGGTTTAGTTGTTTAACCGGAAAAACGTTAGGTTACTGAGAGATTCTCGAATTCTCAAAAAACTAAAATAAACGCCGTGCGAAGTCGCGAGCGCACGCTTGTATTTAAGTAATTATAAATATTTCTAACACTCAAGCAAGCATTGTAAGGTTTGTCTTACGGAATACTAGGTTAACGGATAGAATTCATATTATACTGATACATATATAGATATATTATATATATTATATATCCTTATCATTTGCTCCATCGAGATTCGAACCCGGGAATTTTGACACAATGTGTAGATAAAAAAATATTCAAATCTAAAGAAAATTTTACTAGTAATAATTCCACGCGGACAAGGCAGCAGACGGGACTCGAACCCGCATCCTTCGCTTTCCGGGTGAGTGCACTGATCATTATGCCACCGCGGCCTTGATGGCCGTGTCGAATTTTGGCTCGCATTTCTTAGGCTGTAAGGCAGCGTAATCTTTTCGCATTGTAGGTAATTTCTTTAGATTTCAAATTCCAGAAGTTAAATGCTTAAAATAATAAAAATATAAACATTATATATTGTAATATATTTTTTAAATAAACTATTTAACTGTTATGAAATTTAAAATATAAAAATCGTTGATTATGACAAAGAAAAAAATCTATAATAAGTCTATTTAGATTTAACAAAGAAATCAAAGTAAGATTAGTGTGGGAAAATATGAAGAACAGAAAATAGCATTTATTATAGTTAAATAATAATAAAAAAAACTGATGATAACATCGTATACCTAATCTACCTAATACGATACGGTGGATAGAACAAACACTTCCTCTATTAATTCATGTATTTAAATAATAAAATTAAATCAGTACACATAAATGCATAATAACAACTTAAATGTAAATAAATAAATTCAATACTGACATTTTTAAATAAAAAAAGCAATAAATTACGATAAGAATAATCCTATTCTTTGTACTGACACTTTAAAGATAGTTTTTTGTAATTAAAGAATATTTAATTTGTGCAACTTATGTAGATGCTTCTTAGTATTGTAACGTCTGTAAGGATATCTTTTTTTCGGTTTCGGCTTTGTATGGACTTGTCGATGTGGATATTGCTGGTAGACATCCAAATGTTGAATGTTCAAATTGTGATGGCCTACAATACTTTTCAATTGAGTCTCTGTTAGCATGTAAACAGGTTCTATGACATTAGGAACTCCATACCTTTGAGGCAAACCGTAATGTTGGTTAACACTTACACCGCGCGGGCTGTAAACATCTGGTACCCCATAAGAAGTCGATGGTGGTTGAAAATTATTATTATAACCATAACCATAAACTTGAGGATTATACAAATCTCTATTCGTTGGACTGGGATAACGCTTGAAGTTCCTGTACTTGTTCGAAAAACTACCGGTCAAATCTACATTTTGATTATAACTCAGAGATGGCGCGTAATTTTGCCTTTGCCCATCTCTGAAAAGAGAAGGCTGTTTGATATTTGGTACAGCGTATTCGTATTCTGGTGCAGTAAAATCATCGTCATAATCATTATATTCGGCTTCGTCAAAAGAAACATCATACTGACCGCGATTTAATCTATTCCTATGATTCGGAATGGGATTAGGAACATTGATTTCGTAATCGTCGTCATAATCAACGGCTACACCGACAGGAAAATTGGGAGTGGTTAAAAAAGTTTCTATTTCCTTTTTGTGTTTGTTGATTATTAAGGGGTTAATGCGGATAAGTGATTCGGCTTTAGGGGTATCGTTTCTTGCTGTTACAAGAGGATTTTCTGTTATCGGAACAGGTAATGGATTTAAAGGTGGTTTTATAGCCCTTTTATCTCGTGTTATTGGTTCAATTTCATTATTTATACTTACATTTTCGTCACCGTATGCTGGTGTTTCGGTACCGTCTTCAGAGAGATGTTGGATGCCCTGATGATTTGCATTATGATGGAGATATCTTTCGCTTAAATCTTCTTCTTGAGCAGTGTTCTTCAAGTAATGGATCAAGGGCTGTGCTTGGGTTTGGTAGTTTCTGATATCATTTAGATGGTGATTTACTTCACTAGGCTTGAAGCCTGTGCTTACAGTTTGACTAGCTACTTCAACTTTGTAGTAATTATTGCTTTTCGTTGTAGTCGTTTCAGTGTCAGGTACTTGCGTAGCTAAAATAGATTGTAAACCAAAAGGTTTCACTTTAGGCTCCTTGTTTGGATTCTCTATGTCATCGACCTCTTCCGTTATTGGTGTGTAGTCTTTAACTGCAGTTGGCATATAAGCACTAGCGTAAGTTGGGGGTATTTGAGCATAAGTTTGATCGTAATGACTAGCTAAGTTCTGCACAGGTGGGTCTTTCATATAGAAGTACAAGTCAATTGGGGTCTCCAAAATATCTTTGCTTTCTGTGCTTTCAGGATTAACTAAAGCATTCAACTCTGATACTTGTACTTGAGGTGTTTTCTTCAACAAAGCGTTCAAAGCTTCTATATCTCTAGCTGATTCGTAGTTTTGCATCTGACTGTATTGTTTGGGGTAGACGTATCTCGTTTTACTAGGTATAGCTGCTGTGAATAATTTTGTATCCTCTTCAGAAGGCTTAAGTGACGCCAATCCTATGTTTCCATTCGGCTTGATAGTAACACCTTGATCGTACGTAGGCGCCGGTGAAACGTAAACAGTTTTGTACATTTTAGGTTCTAAATATTGACGATAGTCTACAGAGCCGTGTGATCTATGGTTTCTGTTCTTATCTTTGATGTCTCCCTCTTTTATTACTTCAGGGATGATCCTGAGTCCTCTTTTCAAAGTGCCTTGCCTTATTCTCGTCTTCGGTGGTTTTGTTGTCGGGGCTGGGGCTTTTTCTCTCTTTTTATCTCTCATACTGGCTTGTTGCTGTTCTGCAGCTAATTGGTGGCTTTCTTGAGATTCATGATAAGCTTTCATGTAGCTGTCTACAGGCAGAGGAGCTTTGGTCCATCTCTGAAGCTGAGCACGATGCTGCCTTATTCTTTCAGCGTTGAACATAGCCTGCTGGTTTTGCGCGTGAAGTCTGGCGTTTTGTTGGGAGTTGCCAGCTAATGGGTTGCCGTAAGGGAGTCCCCCAGGTGCATTGTTGAGTCTCGTTTTATCGTCGATTCTGGCTTGTTCGTTTATTATTTCATGTACAGGTCTGGCGTTGGTTTTCGCCGATTGTGTGGTTACAAAGTGTAGGATGAATATTGTGGCTGTGATCTTGATACTCTGCACTGTTTTTGCACCTGAAACAGAAAATTTAAATGGAATGAATATTTAAGACTTCATTTAATGTGTTAGATATAGTCACAATATTTTAAGTGACCGTTACTTCATCATCGTATTGAGATCTGATAATAATTGAATTATTTCCTCGCAGATAGAAAAAATACAACTGTTCGATAATTCTTTCTTAGTCGACCAGCAAGAAATATTGTTTTTTACTGGTCGACTAGAGAGAATGCTTTGAAATTATGTCCGTCATTTGCTGTTTTTACAATAAAGTATAATATTAATTAATTTTTAATGGCTATAAATATTTTCCTTTTAAAATACCTTTATTATTTATGGGATACTAGGTTAACGCATAGATTACATATACTAATACATCATGTCAATTAGTATTCCGCTAATAAATTTGTTAATGTCTTTACTAAATTAATTATCTAAATTTTATTGTTATGACATAACGTGCACAAGTTTTTGCAAAGTTACATAAAGTCAAGAGGAAACACTAAACTTCAGGCTATAAAATTCGCGTGAATGGACTTTCGCTTTTTCTGTGTGTTAAGTCATAAGCGGTATAGATTAATTTTCACTATTATATTGAAAAATTAAACCGATTTAAAAATCGAAAATGGAACTAAAAAGTAAAAAAAAAAATCTGGTTCATGATTTGGAAGTGTCAAGATTGAAAGACGTATTATTACTCTAAATATCTTCCATTCATAAAATCTATTTAATGTTTATATTTAATTTTTAATAATACGAGTTCTGCTTTCATCATTATCAGCCTATTAATGTCTCCACTGCTGGGGCATAGACCTTCCCTATGGATGGAATAGGGAGATTGGGTCGTGACCTACCACTCGGGCCCAGTGCGGATTGGTGGGTGCTAACGACTGCAGAAGCTTAACGAGCCTTTCGAACCATGGAGGAATTCGAGATAGTAAATCTTTGGTCACCCTTCTCAACTTCAACGATCGCAGCCGAACGCTCTAAAGCAGAACTCGCGCTACTCAGCTCACGCTGTTCAGGGTTGATTCGTTCAATGGTTCTGTGTGTTTTTACCATTTATAATTTTTACTTTTTTGTGTGAAAGGTGGGTACCAGATTTCTTTTCAGTCAGTAAGTTTAATATTTTTTTAAATTCTTTTCAGTAGCTCTCGAATTTTACCCTACCATTATTTTTACGTTATATTCTATATATATATTATACGGAACTTTTTTTAAATCTATATTTTTTTTTGTTTAACTGTTGCTACACAAAAAAAAATGTGATATACATACTATTATTGTATATTTCTAAAAATATAAACAAATAAATAAAATATAAATCTTCTGTTTGCTACCTTTTCATTTTACCTACCATGGTATGGAAAGAACATAACATTTTGAAATATTTATTAGGGTGATATGCGTCAAGAAATCAGTTTATGTATGATTTTGCAAACAATCCCACTTGTGATTTTTCAAGTCCTAGGCTCGTATTTTGAATAAAATAAAATTTATTTAATCATGTTGAGTTAACAATAAAATGTTGTTAGATAGACATAATATAAATCATCTTTACGAAGTGAATGTTAAACACCAAATAAACATAAAAATATTTAAGTTTTTACTTGAGCTTTTGAACATTAGACACCATTTCCATAGAAGATGCATATAAATGTTCAAAAGCTCGAGTAAATATCACAGTTTGGAAAGAAATAAAAATGTTTATCTTATCCCATCACAAACCAAACGACCACAAAACGAAATTAAATTGCTTTGGAAAGTGAATTCTATTTACAGTATTACAATACATATGTAGAAAATTAAATTACTTATAACGACTTAAAAACTACCTAATGTCTAAAATTTGAATCCGAATTACCTGAACCTACTTCCGAATAATATCTAACTTAGAAAATAAAAAAATATGTCACCGCCAGCGCCAACGTCAGGGATGGTGCCCAATAGGCTGGCAGCATTACCACGTTGGATGGCAAGGTTGATTCGTTGACCAAGATAGCTGCCAGCCTTTTGGTCACCAGTCACTTCGGTGAGCCTCTTTGATAATTAAAAAAAAAGGAACGAGTGCTTGGACTCCATGGGCCCATAGTCTCAACACCAAACGGCATAAATATTAGTTACTATAGTTCGCTTTCATTTAATGTTTTTCCATTGATTTTGATCAGTAAAATAAATAAATGAATATTAAATAAATATTTCCAACACTCACACCAATTAACCTAGCCCCAAAGTAAGCACTTTAAGGCTTGTGTTATGGGATACTAGGGTAACGGATAGAATACATATATTGTACATATATAAGTATATTTTTATAGAAAATACATATAAAACATCCATGACTGGAGTACAAATGCTCGTATTCATCACACAAACATCTGCCCCCACCGGGATTTGAACCCAGGACCTCTCGAGTCGGCGACACCATGAAACCCGGCGTACAAACCACTCGGCCACGGAGGTCGTCAAATTACCATAATATACGTCAGTTTTATCATAATATTAGTTCGTCCGAGTTAATTTTAGTTTCTGGAGAATCCCACAGGAAGCTCTAATTTTATCGGTTAAAGAGTTTCCTGTTTCAATCCAGGTAATAAACTATGCGTATACCAAATTTCCTCCATATCCGTTTAGTAGTTTTTTTTGTGATTGAGTATCAAACAAATGAACATGCAAACTTACAATCTTCCACATTTATTTGACTAGGATTCATAGTAAGATTTAAAATAATGATTTTTTTACACACACTTTTTTAATCGACCGTACGGAAGACTCATGGGTTTAACGACCATAGAATAAGTACATACTTTCACTGGCGTGCAATACCACGTAATACCGTGTTTATTTACATAGTTATATCAGGTTCAGGTGTTTACGTCCGTCCGTTTGTTTGTGAGAACATCCGCTAATTAAAGCTTCAACTCTACTAAGGTAAAAACCTCGAGCAAAGTATTCTACAAATAAGTTGAAATGAACGCAAACTTTTTATTTAATTTAACTTGAAATAAACTTAAACTCTTTATTTATAAAAAAAAATCAATAAAATGTTTATCTACTAAACTCAGGGAAGTATAATTTGTAAGTAATAATAGTAAAATGAACGAATTAACGAATGAATGAATTAAATTAAGACAGTTTGTGCTCGTCAGAAATGAAAACTTCGTTATATAGTAATAATATGAATTCCATTTATTTCATATGAAAAATAATGTTAATTAACGTCACTCACATTTATTTACACATGTACCTATCTACTTAACTATATATCAAAAACTAAAAAGTCTTCGTTCTCAATTCTTATATTTTTTCAAACGTGACGATACTATTTAATTATTTGATATTTCATTAATACTATTTTGTGGTTCGTTTTGGCTACGCACGAGTTCTTGGTAAAAAAGTATATTTTTTTAATTTCAGCTTTTTCTAAGAGCAAAAGAACGGGCTTTCTATACAGTTAGTTCCTATGTTAGTAAACGAACTATGTGTGACCACTTTCACTGGAACCACCATACGTGATAACAGTACTTGTGCATTTGCGTATATATAAACCGGTTTACGTGTCCGTTCGTCCGTAGCCTTATGCAACAAACTCCTGGCAAAAAATTGTTACAAGTTTATCATGTTCACTTTGTATGTTTAATTCTAAACTTGAACTTGCTTTTTTATATAAAATTAATGAGATATATAGATAAAGAACCGTTGGCTATTGAAATACAGAAAAACCTCCGTATTCACGCTTCCTTTAATTCCCTTTCCAAAAGTAAATTTTTCTTTATTCGCGGATCTAATCGAAATAAAAACGATTTGACACCCTTTAATAACATATCGGCAGATTGAATAATTATAAATAAAATAGACCTTGTTATCACTCAGCCTACAGTATGTTGTCAAATGCTATCGCCGGTGCATAAAATATTTCGCCTTTTCCTTTGATACGAGACGCCTTCGCCGCGGTCGCTGTTATGAGAATATAAACCAACAGAATTCTCAACTCTGCTACGTCACCTAAAATATATTTTTAAATGCTATCACACTATGTATTTATTAATCTAATTCAGTGTCTGATCTTTTCACTACTACAAAAATTTTGAACGAGTAACACGTATCTTCCGCTGTTTTCCTTATTAGGGTATTTGACAAGTTTTAGAAAATGATCTCACATGATTGACTAATGTTTATGGAGTCCGTAAAAAGTGTAAAAATAACCAAATCAAAAACTCCATTTTCAAGATGCCGCGAAAACGGCGTCTTACTAGTGTGTGACGTCACACGACTGTTGGCGTCATTTTAGGCTCCGCCAATCCCAAGCGTTCTGGGTCACGTGACAATAGATGAGAAAACTATTATCTTTTTCGTGTGTTGTAAGTAAAATTATGAACATTTTTTTTGTAAAAATAGTAAAAACCCCTAATATCATTCTAAACAGCCAATAATCATTCTAAACACAGATGCTAACAATTGGCACTTTATTTTTAATACTGTCAAATACGGTATTGTCGAAAAAATAAATTGTTTCGGCGTGAAAAATACCTAACTTAACTTCAATTAAATTGATTGACAATTTTATTGCCACCTTGGAACGTATTCCCTTAAATCCCATATAAATTACCACTTCATATTCACGATTTCTGTATTCGCGGCATATTTTTGTATGTTGCATTTTTAACATACAAGACAATCACGTCTTACCCAACCGAGACATCTTCATCGAGATTCAAACGAAGTGATTATTAGGATAATACACACATACATATAAATATATTTATATATACAGGGTGTAACAAAAATATAAATAAATCTTGAAGGGCGTTGAAGTACATCATATAAGGAGTCTTCTCTAATTTTCTTAAAATATTTGCATGAAGTTTTAACTTTTTATAAAAACAGTTATTTTTAATGATCCTCGAACTAGTGACGTGTCTTAAAATGATCGATATTTCTATTAATCATTAAAAATAACTGTTTTTATAAAAAAATAAAACTTCATGCAAATATTTAAAGAAAATTAGAGAAGATTCCTTATATGATGTACTTCAACGCCCTTGAAGCTGTATTTGTATTTTTGTAACACCCTGTATAACCGTTGAGATGTTAAAATTGAGCATACATTTTTTTAATTGGAGGTATTCTATTAGGCTGTATAATATCTTTTGCGGTTTTCGTTTATTGAAATTTAAAACAGTTCTAGATTACGTCGTTAGTATCGTTACTACGTCTTAATTTAATATCTAACTGCTTACAATTTTATAATTGGCATCGGTATTTAAAACAAAGGAAAATTAACAAAATAAATTCAATAATCAATTATATTATTGTGTCAATATTAAAAAAGTGCTTACGTGGTAAGTGTGTAATTACTCCACTAGCACGCAGCAGAGGTCTAAGGTTCGAATTCCACAGCAAACCATACAAAGGTCTCGGTAACGCATTATGACATCATAGTAACATGTGAGATCTATATTGACATGTCAGGTCAATGTCACGAGTAAAAGTTATCGTGCGACAATAGCAACAATGTGATCAAAGTTAAGAGACAGTCTGTAGTTCAACACATAATCGTTTGCAATAGGAAAGGACGGACACCTACGCCGTACGAGTAAAGGGGCCGTTATTGGCCGAAATAACGGCATCAAACAATCTGACCAATCACGGAAAAGCATAGCACGGAAAAGCTGAGCTTTCATCGATAATAGTTTTTGATGTCTGTAAGGTTTCTTTGCACTAAACGAATAAGTTTTTATACAAATTTTTGTAGATATATTAATTTACTCTTCAATTTCGCCTAATGTTCTTTTTTGTAGATTTGACACTTAATACCCCATTATAAGAAAAATAAATAAAACCATGTTTCGTATGAGAATTTACGGACACCTCTTAATAAGAATCATTCAATGTATTATGTATGTAGCTAGGCTATTTCGAATCGTGATAAACATTCACTTCTAAAGGACGAATAAATTAATTATAGGAACAGCTTACAACACCCAATCACATTCCTGTAAAATTAGGTTTTACTTCAACTACTTAACAATAAAAATTTAGTTTAAAACGGAAAGAATACATAATAAAAAGGAAAAACCTAGTTAGTTGATTTTTTGTGTATTTGTCGAAGGATGATTTGATAAATTTGGATTGTCGCGAAAATCATAGGGATTATGCGAAAACGCAGATAATGGCGATGATATCGCTTAGTCTTACTAAAAAAATAGAGGAAAGAATTTTTGCAAAATCCCTAGAATTTTCGTGAAAATTCGCATGTTCAAATCATCCTACGACAAAAAATCATAATTTTATATTTCGTATGTATAACATTCCGAAGTAATGTATCACAGAACACAGTATTCTGTGGAATTAATAGTATGTATAAACTTGTAATCAAATCTCTTTGGCTTTACCAATTGTACCTTTCTGGTTTTGGTATTATTAAAAAGTTAAAATTAAAAAAAAAAACAAATTCAAAGTAAAAGAATCTCTTATCTAATAGACAAGTCCGTCCGTCCATCCGTGGTGCTGTTTCAGCGGCCAAACCGTAAGAGATTGATATAGAGAATGTTTAAGTTATAAGTTAAGAATAGTCTGATAAGACTACAAACCGGATGTGAGTAACGTAGCACTTCCGGTTTTCGAGAAATCACGTGATTTCTATTTCAAACGAAACCACACAAAATCTCCGAAGTTCTCAATTAATTAAATACATTTTTTTTTTGGTGAACATTTGGTTCACTGGTTTGCTAGTCTCTTATCTAATAGACAAGTCCGTCCGTCCGCGGTGCTGTTTCAGCGGCCAAACCGTAAGAGATAGATAAAGAGAATGTTTAAGTTATAAGTTAAGAATAGTCTGATAAGACTACAAATCGGATTTGAGTAACGTAGCACTTCCGGTTTTCGAGAAATCACGTGATTTCTATTTCAAACGAAACCACACAAAATCTCCGAAGAAGTCAATTAATTAAATACATTTTTTTTTGGTGAACATTTGGTTCACTGGTTTGCTAGTGTGTGAAGTAATACGACAACTTTTACAGTTTTGGCGCAATTAAAAAAAGCTGGGTACACAAAAAAGCTCGATATTTGGGTGCCTAACGAGCTCACTGAAAGAAACCTAATGAACCCTGTATTCATTTGTGATTCTTTATTACGACGCAATTAAACCGAACCAATTTTGCAGAAGCTGATAAGTGGTAATGAATAGTGGATCACGTACGACAAGAACGGTCGAAAGGTCGTGGTCAAAGGCCGGTCAGGCTTCACAGAATCTGGCGAAACCCGGGTTTACTCGCAACAAGGTAACGCTGTATGTACGGTAAGATTGGAAGGGCATTATTAATTGTGAACTGTTACCGCCAGGCAGACCCATCGACTCTGAACTCTTCTGCGAACAACTGATGAAATTAAAGCAAGAAGTTGAGAGAAAGCGGACGGAATTTATCAACAGAAGGGGTGTGGTTTTTCACCATGAAAACGAAAAGACCTCACACATCTTTAGTCACAGCAAAAATTCATTGAGATTACCTTCAGGTTTCCACCTGTTTCGTTCTCTTCAGAATTTTTTGGGCAGTGTCAGGTTAACATCACGAGAGAACTGCCAAATCCATTTGTTACGGTTTTTTGATCAGTCCCTCAGAGCTCATGCTACGAGCACCACAATTTACATTATATCAAAATTTTTATCGTGTCTAACTGTCAAACTCCATAGTAATTTGACAATTGAGCGTGATAAAAACGTGTTATATATCATATCGCGGTGCTCATGCTAGGGGGCAGAAGCCCCAAATTTTTATTTCTTTATATAAAAATTTCTATAGCAATGGGATCATGTCCCAACCTACAAGAAGGTAAAAAGTTATCGAACAAAATAGCACCCACATACTTTAGTTCAATGTAAATAAACTTTATTAAAAAAAAAATTGAAATTTCATATAAAATGCGAAGAATCATTTTTCTCAAACTAATACAATAAATATTATATGTCACAAGAATGAACGGACGGACGAACAAGAAAGCTTTTATGAGTTGAGTAGGTATATTCCTTGTAAAATGCAGTTTTTAGCGAAAAGTTGGTTATTACAGTATCGTCAATTTTGGCTTAACAACGTCGTAGGTGTATATAATTATAATTTGTTTTAATAAGCTGAGGTGAGGCCGAAATATATTTAGGTTAAGCCATAATGTATGTGTATGCCTTTTTAGTACCGTATTTTTTTTTATTTTCTTTTGACAATGAAAAGCAAAAAACATAGTCATGGTACAGCTTCTAAACGACTTCTACATTTTCATCAACTTTTGTATTTAGTTAGGTATACAAAATTTTTGGAAGGTTTTAATAGAATTATAAGTTTTTTTCGCGCGGAAAATTTAGGAAAACTTACAACTCATTACGAGGATTCATTACTAAGTATCTACAATTTGTAATCACCATAATTAGCCTATCAATGTCCCCACTGCTGGGGCACAGACCTTCCGTATGGATAGTATAGGGAGATTGCGTCATCAGTGCGGATTGGTGGGTGCTAACGACTGCAGATGCAGCCGGGACCAACGGCTTACGTGCCTTATGGAATTTGTAATAAGCAAACATAATTCATAATAAAAATAACAACCGACTTTTCTATTTTAATCTGTAAATTATATCGTCATAATTTACAGAATAAAATAGAAAAGTAAATATTTACATTTAGATAGTAAATTAAAACTACACTAAAAGTAGACAAAAATTAAAACTATGTTGTCTTCCCCGTCGGCAAAGGTTCCCAGGACGCTACGATAAATTGTGTGTTAATATGCGTATTTACAATACACTTGTCATTAGACGTTAAAAAAACTGACTATATTTACTACAATTAAGTCTAAAACTAATATTTGATAATAAAACCAAACAACAGGTGATTACTTTTAATTAATATTTCAATCATTAAAATTAATTGATGTGTGAAAATTTTAAAGCGTGTGAGGTTTACGGTTTCCCATAAAAAAAAAACAGTTTTTTCATTAAAATCGTGTGAGAACACATTACTGTGTAGGTATTTTTGATATACGTATTTAAATTACGATTACTTAATGTAGTACAAATAAAGCTTCTTAATGAGGTGGTAATGTTGTATTTTTTTCTCTTTTTGAATATCATTAGCATTTTTATATTTCAAAACAAACCACTTAAGCAACGAAGTACTTAAGCTCTTCTTTGTGAAGTCGAGAAATAACCACTAATTACCTTATTTAGCCGCAAGATCAAAGATTTTATGTAACTAATGAATAAGAGAGGAATAGCTATAGTGTACATGGTACTCGATTTGGTGGAATAACTCTGAATTTGAATAGTTTGAGATTGCGAAATGTCATTGTAAAATGTGTACTGATTTTTAGTTCCTTTGACGTCCGCTGTGGCGTTGCTGTTCAAGTTTCCATACAAAATTTAACAATGACAATTCGCACTCGCTAACTATTCGAATTCGATATTGGTTCGTGCTAAGCGTAGCACGAACCATTATCGAATTCCAATAGTTTGCAAACCGAAATGTTAATGTCAAATTTTGTAAGGAAACTTGAATAGCAGCGGCACAAAGTACGTAACGAGAACTAAAAATCAGTACATATTTGACAATGACATTTGGACTCGTAAACGTTACGAAGTCGATTTTGGTTCGTGCTAAGGGTACTGTACCCCTAGCACGAACCATTATCGAATTCGAATAGTTTGCAAACCGAAATGTCAATGTCAAATTTTGTATGGAAACTTGAACAGCAGCGGCACAAAGTACGAAACGAGAACTAAAAATCAGTACACATTTGACAATGACATTTCGGACTCGCAAACGATACGAATTCGATATTAGTTCGTGCTAAGGGTACTGTTCTGTACTACGATTCTGTAAAATAAAATCTCTCTTCCGATTTCGGTACCTGCCATTTTAGACATTAGAGTTTGATATGCGCCATTATGCGGCAAAATGTCACTATGACTATGGAAGCAGCCAGTATTAGATATTTGACATTTGTCAGAAAACCAAATAAGTAAGATCGTAAGTGAGATTGTATCTTATAGAATACCTACGCTGAAAAGACTAACTTTTCCAAGGCTTTACGGGGTTTGAGGATTGAGTAACACACGAGTGATACGTACTTTAGTATCAGAGGAGTATTTATGTCGGCGATGGCATTGCTTAATCATACTAATGACGGTCTTTTTCTAGCGCTTTGCCGGCCGGCTCGTTCGCTCGCTACGTTCGCTCGGCTCGCGTGTCATGGTCACAAAAAACACTAACCTAACCTACACTCGACTGCAAATAAACTGGGCCAACCGCAAGTACCTTGGAACTCTAATTCGATTTTTTCAAAAAGTATAAAACTTACAACTATTAGAACTATATCTACAGAAAGTGTGTTTCATAATTATTTATATGAGTAAAAGTTTATTCTAAAATACTGTCAACTTACTTTGTTATCGAGCAAGAACAGCAATGCTAACAATTTGCTAATTTTTAGGGTTCCGTACCTCAAAAGGAAAAACGGAACCCTTATAGGATCACTTTGTTGTCCGTCTGTCCGTCCGTCCGTCCGCCTGTCAAGACCCTTTTTCTCAGGAACGCGTGGAGGTATGAAGCTGAAATTTATATCAATTACTCAGGTCTACTGTCCCTTGAAGCTGTGAAAAAATCAAACTTCTAAGCCAACGCAATCAAAAGATACAGCCGTTTATGCCGCAAATTTTCGACACTTGCAAGGGAATCAAAACCTACAGGGTGCTTCCCGTGAACTCAGAATCTTGAAATTTGGTACCAAGCAACGTCTTATAGCATAGATAAAGGAAAAATTACGAAAACCATAAATTTTTAGTTACATCACATAATATATTTTTTTTTAATAATTTTAACCTTACTACCCATTTCCTCATAAACGCGTAGAGGTATTAAATTGAAATTCATACCAAATACTCAGGTCTTTAATACCTTTAAGCTGTAACAAAATCAAACTTCTATGTCAACGCAATCAAAAGAAACAGCAATTTAAGCTGCATATTTTGAAACTCGCAAGTACTCGCAAGGGAATCAAAACCTAAAGGGTACTTCCAGTCGACCTAGAATCTTGAAATTTGGCATGAAGCAACGTTTTATAGCACACATAAAGGAAATTTCCGAAAACCTTAAATTTTTAGTTACATTACTAAATATATATTTTTTAATAAATATAAACTTATTACTTTTTTCCTCATGAACGCATAGAGCTATCAAGTTGAAATTCATATCAAATACTTAGATCTAATTGCCTTTAACCCGTGAAAAAAAAAAATCTAAGTCAACGCAAAAACGCAAAACGCAAAAATAACTTTAATAAAAGAACTTTCGCAAGTCTGCTGCAAGGCTAGTATAAGTGTTTTAGTTATATTATAGATAAATGATATGTGTTAATATAAAATAAAGGATTACTTAAACGATAAAGAGATCTTTGTCTTAAATTTATGCTCCTCCATCTTTCCCCATTGTAATGTTATGAATTTCATTTTGCAATAAAAATACCATAGTTATGACTCGATTGTCGTATTGAACGAAGTTTGTAAACCTTGCAGGTTTGTACGGAACCCTCGGTGCGCGAGTCCGACTCGCACTTGGCCGGTTTTTTAATAAAGTCGCGATTATCGTTCTTTTTTATAAAATGAAGATAGTCTGATTCTTCTTATCATTTCCTTAGTTTTTCTCCATAGTTTTCTCAGACGTGAGTATTTTTGCTTCGTTCGTTACTTCCGAATATCACAATTGGAAAACGATTCTTCCTTGGCTTTTTGAAAATAAAAATTTAATAAATTGATTAATCTCAATAAATTCATTTCAATCGCAATGAAACGCACTTTCTCTAGTTATATATTTCATAGTTGTAAGTTTTATACTTTTTGAGAAAATAAAATCGGAGTTCCGTGGTAGCAAGTGGCCCAGTTTATTTGCAGTTGAGTGTAGTTTGAAGCCAAAAACCAAAAAACCCAAGAATATTTTATAATGAGGCAAGGATTTTTTTGTAATCTTATTGGGACGACGTGCGTAAAATATATACATGTTTCATTTACTACCTATAAGAGAAATATAGAAAGAAAAAGTGCGCGCGCACTGCTTTCTCTTGCTTATATCCCCCACTGAACTCCCGTTCGCCTCGCCCGATCATACTTTTCGTAACGCGTAACGCATTCGCCAGCTTACCCCCCAAGTCAAGCGTGCGTAAAGAAGTTTCACTTCAAAAAAATAGAAAAATGCTTACTAACGATCTCAAATTTTCAACAAAGACATTATAATGACCGGAAATGATATGACTATAACTTTTATAATAATAATAAACTATTGTATTACTGGCTGCTTAACAGATCATTGTCATTTGAGTTACGTAAAAAAATTCTTCCGTGTTTTATGAATGGCTGGCATTATATGACGTTATTATAATATGTATAACATAGGAACAGGAAAGAGACAAAAAAAAAATAATACATACTTCATTAATTAGACGCTGGTTGATCGATTGGTCTTGAGTTTTTTGATAATCGATTCCCGAGAAATGTATTTTGGATCGCTTAACAGGTATATCAAACAAGGAAACAGCATTTTTCTTGATTTTTGTTAGTAAGTAGGTCAGTATTTACATATTGGAGAATAAATTTTGTTGAATAAATTCTCCCAAATACAGACTATGTTTTTTTTATTTTATTAATAATTATTCTCTAAAAAGAAACGGGTGATTCCATTTTCAAATTGTAAATTGGGGTTTTGTTAATTTTACTTAAGGCAGAGAGGAGTTTTTGGTGTGATATTATCGAGAGCGGTTGGCATCTTATTTTAATTATTCTTAAATTCGTTCATAGTAGATATTGTGAAATAAATTGGTGTGATTTTATTACATACGTCTGCGCAACTGCAGAATTAGAGGAATCTTTAAAGTATACGTTCTTCCGGTCAAGTGGACGTGAGAACTAGTGTGTTTACTACCCCACAGAAGCTTATCGAAGAAGCCAACTCTCCTAGAAACTTTAGAATGCGTCACACCGATATCTTATGTAAATAAAAAAAAGATTATTAAAATTTTAGACTAGGCTGTATGGGCATGTTCTCTTTGACTTCCCTGAAAAGGGAGAATCTTAAAAAAACCAGAGAAACGTAACTTAGAAACCATTATTTTAAAATTCATTAAGGACTTTTTGGCGGGATCGGGAAGCGTCACTTTAGCAGTTTTGTTTTTCTTGTTAAAAATTGTGTTGTGGCGGATGTTAGTGTCTAATAATGGTGGATTATTAACCACTAAGTGTTCGGAAACATGCACAAGTGTTGGCAAGTGAAACAAAATAGCGGAAGGTATCTTTCGACGTTCCCTCAAGAAGTCCACGGGGAGGTTCCAGTAAATCCCCACACATTTACTGAAACATAGGTAAAGGGGTATTGACTTGACTGCCACTTACTTTGACTTGACTAATATTTTGACCACGAGTGCTATAAAATATGTAAACATTTTACACTTGACATTGGCTAAATGCACAAACTGCGAAGCCATATAGAAAAAAAAAAAAATTCATTAAATAACTACAAAACAAAAAGAAAAAAAAATACAAGCATAATACCTAATTGACATAATCAAATAACATCAACGTAGATGTCATGACGTATTTAATTAAGCTTTTCGATAGGTATCGATAGGTCGAATTACAATTCACGATCTGGAAATAACACATTAACCCAGAAACATTTCCGCTTTCAACCTCAAACTTGCTCAATTTACATAATACGGATTCATTTCCCAAAACTGCATGTGTCTAAAGATGACATGCACGAAATTAGTTACGTAAAATTGATGTAACTTTGGCCGACAAATTGCGGTCGAGTGGCTGCGCTGATCCTATAGATTAGCAAGATTTGGGCCCTTGTTCGTTTTAAAGTGAAACTTATTTGCGAACGGGGCTTAAATTGAAAAATCCTATGGAAAATATGAAATGCGTAACGAGCGTCACACGATTATATATATATATATATATATATATATATATAATATGTCTGTGTGTGCAAGGGCGGATCCATGGGGGGGTCTGGGCTGGGTCCATCTATACCCACTTCACAATCTGTACCGATTGGGTTTGTTTGGATTGTCGATTGCGGTCTCCGATTGGGGCGATGCCAATTTAGTTGGGTTCAATGCTGCGAAAACCCAGGCATGTCTTTTCACCGCAAAAAAGAGGCCATTTGATCTGGCCCCTACTTTCCGGGATGTAACCGTACCGATCAGCGACCATCTCGAGCTACTCGGTATTACATTGTCACCAACCCTCAACTTTGGCTCATACATTGAGTCCAAGGCCCAATTAGCAGTCAAGAAGTAGGGTATCCTTTCGAAGGTGCGACGATACTTCAAGCCGGAACAGTTGCTTACATTATATCAAGCACAAGTTCGGTCGTGCATGGAGTATTGTTCGCACCTCTGAGATGGATCGGCTAAGTACCAACTTGAGGCGTTGGAGGCAATTGAGAAACGAGCGATAAAGCTCATTGGAAATGACGCGCTTTGCCGGGCAAAGTTACAAAGCCTGGAACACCGACGCAAAGTTGCCAGTCTTTCGGTGTTCTATCGGTTGCATTTCGGTGAGTGCGCAGAGGAATTACATGAGCTAATTCCTCCCGCCCCTTTCTACTACCGGACGAGCAGGGAAACGGCAAGGCGACATCGATTCACGGTGGCAGTTCCAAAGACTCGCACTAAGCGATTCGCGTCTAGCTTCATCGTGCGGACTGCCAAACTGTGCAATTCCTTGCCTGAGCCCTTGTTCCCCGAGCACTACAATCTAGCGGTCTTCAAAGCAAGAGTGAACCGGTTTTTATTAGGTAAGCGCGCTCCATCGTAGACCATAATATTGCTTTCCATCAGGCGAATTATGGTCAAGCGCTTACCTATTACCGAATTAAAAAAAAAACCCACTGTGACATGACCACGACTATATGGCCCCCTCCTGGCGCCAAAGCTTAAGGCGCCATTGTGTGTGTGGGATGCGTGCGCAGCTTTTCCAGACGAGCATGAAAGGAGGGTAACTCGGAGAAGGCTGAAACGCTGGGAGCGTTACATGTGACAATATATAAACATATTTATGAGTGATGCGTGCGCTGCTCCATTCCCCTATGCCTTACGCACCGTCTAATGTTAGGTTATTAAAGAAAAGAAGTTTCATTACAGATGTGTGGTCCGTGCACACATTTTTTTTTATTTCAAACATGAAAGCTATCTGTTAAGGAGGAGGAGCCGACGATTACCTAAATCGTATTAAGATACTGTCTTTTTTAAAATTCCTTAGTCAACAAGAGAACCTTTATAGTTTCGTCCATCCGTTTGTTTGCAGCTGAGCTCTCAGGGTTTTTTGTAGGTACCTACTTTGTGGTGACTCTCCATTTCACTACTGGAGGTTGGCCGTCAACTTGTAACGTACCTCAGGAATAGTCCCATGGTTTCGACTATCATAGGTTCCATTTCACACATTTTATCATCTAACATCATCGATATTCATCAGGCATAAACATATATTTTATTATGTATTCCTGGAAACACACAATTTCAAAAATATCGCACACTATTCATCATTTTGTGAATAGGTATAATAATTCCATCTGTACTGAAAATCACTATTCCAGAGTGCTGGACACTTACCGGAATTTCTCTTTATTCTGTTATTCATTTAATTTTATTGTATTTCTCCAATTTTATATAATTTTATGCATAATTTTGTTTACATATTTTCTTGACATTTGTGACATCTTAATGTTTTTTATCCGTTGCTCCGGGACTATTCCTGAGGTACGTTACAAACTCTGCGTCTTTGTCCTTATTTCGTTACAGAGGAAATAGTTCTTCCACGTAGTGCGTTATCAGTCCCCTCGCTGATATTCCCACGACAACAGCTAACTAGAGCCGAGGCCCGAGTCTCAGAGACGTCCTCTAGTTGAGCCGACCCTCTCAGCTTCGATTTGTTTAGAGGCTCTAGACGGCTAGGAGACTCCGCCGTGAGGAGATACCATCCGCCTGGAAAACCTTTTCAGGAACTCGCCAATTCCCGGCTCCCTTAGGATCCGGCCACCCCAAACCCGGTGACGCTGTAAAGGTAACCTGCGACTAAGCTACACTAAAAAAAAAACGATGTTGCAGAGCCACGCCTTCCTTCTTTTTACAACGCGTCCTTTCCCCTCTATCATCATCATCATCATTCTAAGCCTATTAATGTCCCCACTGCTGGGGAGGAATAGAGAGGTTGGGCCATGACCCACCACGCGGGCCCAGTGCGGATTGGTGGGTGCTAACGACTGCAGATGCAGCCGGGACCAACGGCTAACGTGCCTTCCGAAGCACAGAGGAGCTCAAGATAGTAAATTTTTTGGTCACCCATCCAATGACCGACCACTGTGAAAGTTGCTTAACTTCAACGATCGCAGCCGAACGCGCTAACCACTTGCGCCATCGAGCCCC